ATATTGGCATAAACTGATGAGTTCTGTGTTTTTGATTATTATTATAAATTATTTTGTTTTAGCAAATCTTTGAAAAGATTTTTGTCAATTATATTGCTAAAATGGATAGACCTTTTGTAAAGCTAAATCTGTTTAAATGCAAAATTTTTGTTTCTGCTGTCGGACAATAGAACAAGTATGAAATACTGACTGGAACGTGCAGAGAGCAAATTACTCCTTCTACTGCTCCTTCACTTCTTCTATGACCATGTGTAATTATAACATGATAAAAAAAAATTCTTGCTACACTATGTAGCCTGTAGACAATATTATATGGACCAATGTGAGGGTTTTTTGTATCTCAAAATAAGGCAGAGTAAGAAAAATCGTAACACTAGGGGGGTCCGGGGGAATAAAATGAACGCAAATAAAACGTACACAAATCTGTATTACGCTAAAGAAATGCACCAAATCGGCGGCGCTGAGAACTCTCCAGAGGAGGATGCAAATGCGCTCTTGCGTCACCAAATCACTGTCAAGTCACATTTATTTATAGCGCTTTTTACAATACAAATTGTTTCAAAGCAGCTTCACATAGATAGCAGGAAAACAATGTCGTAATAGTATTGTTAAATTCAAAATTAAATGTTAAATGTCCCCAACTAAGCAAGCCAAAAGCCAATGGCGACAAAGGCAAAGAGAGGTGAAAAAGGCAACGGTGGCAAGGAACCATAGTTCGAATTCCCCAAAAGAGACAGAAATATCAGTTTTGGGGCGGTCAGATAATTTTTTCTGATATTGGTAAAAATATATAGGCTAATTGCAGTTACAATACAAGTCAACTCCTATTTTCACAGTAGGAACATTTTAATGTAAAGCGATTCCAGACACCATTATTGTGGACCCTACCATTTTTATCCACCGTGGCTAGAAGCAACGGAGACAGAGAACCAGAGTTCGAAATGAGGGGGGATTTATTTTATGGGGTCCCCGACAAATATATTTTAACATTAAAAATGATTGTGAAAATTATAGTTCTTTAGTGACATTTTATATTTATAACAGTAATTTATTTCCTGGCGGCGAGGCAGGGCAGCTATTAGCCGAGTGAACTGTTGTTGTGGTGCTCCTGCTAATGTACGGACTGTAACAAAGTTGCTGTTGAAGCTCACGCAGTTATTTATAACGTATAAATTTATAGTTAAGAAGTAATGTAGGCTACACACGACCAGAGTTATGTTTTCCTGAAAGCCATCACAATTGAAACCGAGATATTGATTTCATAACAGTTCAATAAACAAATAGTTAAAAGTTGCTTACATTTTTAGACGCAATGACTGTCTGTTTTTGTTCGGTTTCAGCAGCAAAAATAGTTCCAAACAACAGAACCACAGAGCTGAATATTCAGATTACTGAATAATTCAGCGTTTTGAACTATTCTCTCGAGTCAAAGATTCAATTACCCATTATTAAACCGCCTCATCACAAATCGTTTAAATGAATGACTCAATGACTCGCTCATTAAGACGGCCGCCTGCCGCCTCCTAGTGGCGGTTTAGTTTCAAAGTATCATTCGTTTCATTCCTTATATTTTTATATTCAAAAAATATTTAAAACAATCTCATAATCTCATTTAATACAGTTATAATCTTTCAATGTAAATTATTTAATATGATTGGTAACCGCCTAGGCTGTCTTATTATTTTAATTGAATGTAGCCTATTAATAAAATGTAAGTATTTGAAATGAAATTTAGAGCATACATTAAATAACATTAGGGGAAACTGCCCTTTATAAAGGTACAAAAAATATTCAGATAAGAGTGTTTTCAAAAATGAAACATTGGCAATTTAAGTTCAAAGGGAGTAAAGCCTCTGTTTATAGGCTATAAAGGAAATGTAATTTTACCAAAAGAAGAACTTTTAATATAAATAAATGTTAATTTTAAATCAGCCTACTTCAGTGTGATGTGGCCATATTATCATGCTTAATTGAATAATTGTGATGTGGTTGGGGAATATATTTATAGGACCCCCCTAGTGTTACGATTTTGCCTACTCTGTCTCATTTCGAGCCACGAAAAACCCTGACATTGGTCCATATAATTTTGTCTACAGGCTACATAGTGTAGCAAGATTTTTTTTATTATCATTTAATTATAACATTATTATCATTTTATAATTACACATGGTCATAGAAGAAGTGAAGGGGTTTGTACCCCCCAATTATGGTGGGATAATTCGCACTTTGCAAGGAACCAAAACTCCATCAGGTGACAGAATGGAGAAAAAAACCTTGGGAGAATCCAGGCTCAGTGTATGTGGCTACCGCGATAATGCCGGAACTTGAATGGTGCAAAATAAGTTTAAAATGTATAAGAACTAAGTATAATAATAAGGTGTAATTTATATGATATGTTTTTGCTTATTTGCAGATCATATAGGTAAATGTCTGCACTTATCTTTTTTATTAGTGCTGAAGAATGACAAACTGACTACTGTGTATGACTGTTAATTAGTAGTTACTTCATAGTTATTTTTCTTGAACCTTAATTAATAGATAATTAATAGTTTTTCAGGAGGTATGACCGAATTCATTAGTTATTGATTAACTAACTGATACTTAACACAATCATAAAATTATATTACATACTGATAAGTTAACACATCTTCCTTAGTAGTTAACAGTAGTGAGTGACTTAAGTGTTAATAAAGAATTACCTATTAGTTCTTCATTAATTCCTTGTTAGTTATGCAGTAAGTAAGATAAAGTATTCTAAAGTGTTACCCATATTTGCATTAATTCTTACATTCACATTCGCAGTACAACCACAATTAGTCACTTGCAACTTCTCGAATCTGTCACTTCAAATTCAAATTTCGCACCTTGACTTTTGCTACTCTTTTCACGATATATGAGGTGCAAAACTAACTTGTGCACTTGTAACTCAGTGGCGGCGAGAGCGCAAGGGGGGTGGGAGCGGGGGTATTCAAAGGAGCCGTTTTATTGTTGGCGCAAAGCCAGTGAAATAGGACTTCTATTGTACACGAAGATGTCACAAAACCTGCCTCCTAGTGGATGTTCTGAAACGCTAACATGGATTAGACTGATTTAAAATAAATTATCTTATAAGTTAAATTAAAAGAAAGTGTTATTAAAAGACCAAACTCAGGAAACACCATAAATAAAGCATACAGAAAAGCAACTGAGCAGAATATGAACGCAAATCGTTTAATTGTACGTTAAGCATTTTCCTCTCATAGAAAACCAAGAAAACGCTCATTGAGGCTTAATGGATCAACAGTTATAAAAACAGAAAAGAAAAAAAGAACACAATTTGTTATACATTATTAATAAAACAAAGGCAGCTGGTTTATTTGCACTGAACACAAATTTGCTTTCTTTTGTCATATTCTACTCATCTGCTTTTCTGTAGTATACATTATTAGAATGGTGTTTACTAAGTTTTATAATATCATTAGTTTCTTTTAATATCAGTAATGCATTAAGCCATGTTAGAGTTTCAGAACATCCACGAGGAGGCGGGTTTTGTGACATCGTCTCGTACAATAGAAGTCCCATTTCATTGGCTAGGCGCCAACCAATAAAACGTCTTGTTTGAACACACCCCCGCCCCGTTTTCTCTCTTGCCACTACTGAGTTACAAGTGCACAAGTTAGTTTTGCATTTCATGTATCGCGAAAAGAGTAGCAAAAGTCAAGTCGAGTCTTGTGACAGATTTGAGAAGTTGCAAGTGCCAATTTGAGGTTGTACTGCAAATTTGAATGTTAGAAGAAGTGCAAATTTGTATTGCAAGTATGTGTCTGTCCTTGTATCTTTGTGAATGACATTTTACACATTTGTGACTGCTTGTCTGCAGCTTCAAATTCAGAATACAGGTTTGTGACTATTGTCTGCGAGTGCAAATCTCAGTGTACACGCACAAATATTTATTGTATAAGTTCTCAAATTCACATCTATGTGCTCTCGAGTTTAGCTACTAATTTACCTTCATAATATCGTCTGTTGATGTGGAAGCTAAAATAGTCATCATTTCAGTTATCTTTAAAGTTCTTGCTCTTGGTGTGAAAAGGCCTTAAAGGAGTAGTTCACTTTTTAAAAAAACTTTTGCTGATAATTTACTCACCCCCATGTCATCGAAGATATCCATGTCTTTCTTTCTTAAGTCGAAAAGAAATTAAGGTTTTTGATGAAAACATTCCAGGATTTTCTCCATATAATGCACTTTACTGGTAACCAAACGGTTCAAGGTCCAAAAGACTTTGGAAGTTTCAGTGCAAACTGTTCAAAGGGCTTTAAATGATTCCAGATGATGAATAAGGGTCTTATCAAGCGAAACGATCGCTCATTAAAAAAAAAAAAAAGTTTAAGTTTTATAAGCTCAAATGGTCGCCTTGCTCTGTTCTGTGATCCACGTTTGTGACTCTCCTGTTCGAACTCATTCATCAAAATGAACGAATCTTTTTCCAAGTCAATTCGTTCATTTCGTTCGTTAAATGAACCAAATGACACGAAAAAGATTTGTTCATTTTGATAAACGAGTTTGAACAGGAGAGTCACGAACGCGCATCACAGAACAGAGCAAGGCGACCATTTGAGCTTATAAAACTTAAACTTTGTTCTTTTTTTTTTTTTTAAATGAGCGGTCGTTTCGCTTGAAAAGACCCTTATTCATCATCTGGAATCATTTAAAGCCCTTTGAACAGTTTGCACTGAAACTGTCTTTTGGACCTTGAACCGTTTGGTTACCAGTAAAGTGCATTATATGGAGAAAAATCCTGGAATGTTTTCATCAAAAATTTTGAAAAAATTTCAACATGATTTTTAGCAATCACTTTGAATCAAATGTTATGAATGTAATATAAAATTTTCTTTTCAACATTATACCTGCTGACTTCTAGCTGAGAATACAAAATCTACCTTCGGGTATAAATAAAGTAACTTGAACTTGAGAATAAGGAGTATTCAGGCTTAGTGATTTAGAGTGGAGTTTGACTCACCCTCCTCGTTGAGGTTGAGGTTCTGAAGGCTCTTATTGAGGGTTCGAGAGGTGGTGGCAGCTCTAAGGTTTGTGTAGGAGTTCACTGATCTTAAACGAGGGATGGCGGGACTGTCCCTGCCCGGTGTAACATTCCCTGTCTCTACATGAACAAAAAAAGGTCAGTGGCAGCCGGACATAAAAGATAAACAATGGACCATGACCATGGTTAGAACAGCATGGTAACACTTTATTTGAAGGGGTGTGCATAAGACTGACATGACACTGTCATAAACATGACATAACACCTGTCATGAACATGAAGTAGTCTTTATGAATGTTTATGACTGTTGTCATTAAGTGTCATTCGGTAAATTATGACACTTTTAATGCAAAGTTGACATTGTTTAAATTGTCTTTGTTATGACAACTTGACATTAAGAAAGACAAAAAATGTCTTGGATATGACAACTTGACATTAACAAAGACAGAAATGTCTTTGTTATGACAACTTGACATTAACCAAGAAATCATAACCTGTCAACCTGACATCTTTATAACTAGTCCAACGTGTTCCACTTTACTTGAGGTAAGGGGAAATATTAATGACACTGTTGTTAAAGCATTTGACAGTGTAATAACCCTTATGGCTCGTTTCCACTGAGTGGTACGGTACGGTACAGTTCGGTTCGGTACGCAATTATTTGCGTTTCAACTGTCAATTTTTGTGAATGGTACCAAAAAGCCGAACCGTACCGTACCACTTTTTGGGTACCCTTCCGTTGGGGTACCTAGCACAGTGAAAGGGTACTAAAAGGTGGAGCTAGACTCACTGCAGAACGGTGATTGGTGGACAGAGTATCGTCACTCGCGCGTGCTACAAGGGCATTAGAAGCATAAGTTGAAATATAATACTACTGTTATTGTGTCACGAAATGTAGTTTTAAGAGTTTTTCAGGCGAGAAAGTAGTTTTTTAAAGCTCAAATCTGTGGTTTGTTTATAGATTTATGATAATTTGACCGAGATCCATTCCAATCGATCACCGGACGCTCGCGCTCGTGTCCCCCGCCTGGAACAGCCTTTCCTTGGCTAGTCATCCTGATGTTTGCCGCTGACTCGGATGTCTCTGTAGTGGTTAAACATGAGATATAGTTCGTCTTGTATAAACCTAACAGGTGATCTTTGGTCTCATGAATCTATAATTCGTTCCCTGGCCAATAGTTTTGGCAAAAGGCTACGTGAAGTTTCATATCTTTGAGCGCTGAATTTGACTGACTGAATTGTTTCTTGATGTTATTTAAGCTTTACTGTAGATCTTTTTGTACCTTTTACTTATACTTTTATAATGGCTATTATTGATAAAACTGAACTTCAACAAAAAGAGATAGTTTTGTCTTTTTTTTTTATTTTAATACAAGATCATCTGTAATGTTGTCAATACATTACCTTACATATTGCCTGGAATATGTTTAATATTTTTTAATTTAAACGAAAAGAGGCAGGGTTGTTTTATATTTAGTTTTGTTATAACTATAGTCTAACGTTACATAGGCTACATGCAGTGATAATCAATTGGCTATGCGTTGCCTGAACCACATTTGTGTGCTTTAGAATGTTTACAATGTATTGAAATGAAATTGAAAAGAAGCAGAGTTGTGTTTTATAACATATTTCGTTTTATTGTTGCCTAAAATGAACATACAGAGATAACCGGAGTCGCATAGCCCGAGCGAGCTGAGTGCCGCGTTCAAGAACGCGCTGTTCCATTAACAGAATTACTGTACTCGCGTCCTCGGGATCATTCTCCTGAGTCGGACTTTGCATTGGCTTCTTGGAAACGCCTAATGCCAGCGCTTGTTTCTAGTGACAAACATGCCGAGAAGCAAGAACAAGATCTGCTGTCTGTCATACATTATTGATGACATTTTACTATGTCGCTTTCTTCGCGCGAAAATGACGTTGATCGCTTCTTTCCAGCATACCACGCCTATCAAGTAAGGGTACTGTTGGCGGTGGAAACGCAAGCCTGATCATGGTGTACCCGACCCGACCCGTACTGTACCGTACCGTACCCCTCAGTGGAATAACTAGTACAATGGGTTCCACTTTACTTGAGGACAAGTAAAATATTCATGACAGAGTTATGGTGTCATGACGGCCAAAGTCAAAACCAACCACATATGACAGGGTAATGTAATGTAATCTTAATTGCAAAGCTAAATAATTTCTTTAAGTTTGATAATTAGACCTGTTATGACATATGTGTAACAGGTTATGATTTCTTGGTTAATGTCAAGTTGTCATAACAAAGCTATTTCTATCTGTGTTAATGTCAAGTTGTCATAATCAAGACATTTTTGTCTTGGTTAATGTCAAGTTGTCAAACAAAGACATTTTAAACAATGTCAACTTTGCATAGTGTCATAATTTACCGAATGACACTTAATGACAAAAGTCATAAACATTCATAAAGACTCCTTCATGTTCATGACAGGTGTTATGTCATGTTTATGACAGTGTAATGTCAGTCTTATGCACACCCCTTCAAATAAAGTGTTACCTAGAATATCTGCCCAACCAATTATATTTGGCAAAACGCACACTTAAAATTTTAATACCAATGTGTTTAATAAACAAGTATCAATATCAACCACACATTTTAATATCTACTCTTTGGCTTAAACATCATTATAATTTGACAATGTAGTATCCCTTAATTTGAAATGTGGCATATATTTAGTATATTGGGCAGTATACATTAAGTAGTATGTTGTATTGGAAAACCAATAAATCTAAAACATTTTAAAAATAATTACCTGTGGAATTTGCAGGTGAAGGCACAGCATAGTTCTTCTCTTCCTCCATGAACTGCAGAGCCACAGTACAGAAATTACTCTCATACTGCACCACTAGGTGACTAAGAGCAACAACCAGCTCCTAAACAAAATACAGGAAAACAAAAGTTACTGAAAGTAAACCGGTCATCAATATAGGTCAGCCACTATAGGTCAGCATTAGCCAATATAGATAATCAAGAGTCAATATAGATCAAAATATGCCAGTTAGGCAAGCGTCAGAGCAAAAAAGGGTCACTACAGGTGACTCATGTTAATAATTTTAATTTTGCTCTCCCCAACTCTTCAGAGAAAGGTAGTGCAGTAGCGGTTCACTTAATATCACGTGTATAATTATAAAATAATTACCCAAACAATTATTTTAAAAAATAGTTTGAGATTTTAGCATATCACACAGAAGGACATGTCTACCCAGATAGCAAACTGACATTGAATCAACGTGGAAATATGACATAGAAACAACGTTGATCTGACATTGTTTTGCTCATCGAATTAACGTTGAACCAACGTCAGACGCGTCATTCTTTCAAAACTAACGGAAAATCAACTTGAAATCAACGCGTTGTTTCAACGTTATGAAAGCAAACCAATTTTCGATTTTCATTTAGCTTAAGAATGCCGCGTCTGACGTTGGTTCAACGTTAATTCGATGAGCAAAATCAACGTTGTTTCAATGTCATGAGAGACGTCGTTTCCACGTTGATTCAATGTCAGTTTGCTGTCTGGGTAATAAAGTCAAGTCACCTTTATTTATGAAATGCTTTTTACAATTCAGATTGTTTCAAAGCAGCTTTACAGTGATAACAGGAAATTAATGCAACAAAGTTTGTTTAGGCTGTACAGCAGCTCTAGACGAAAGTCATTGTCCAGTTAAAGTAAGTTCAGCTTTGATTAATTTCCAGTGTAAAAATCATTAGTTAGGTTGTTCGACAGTCAGCTTTCCAAAAGTATTTCAAGCTAACTACGACAATCCAAAAGTAAACATAAGTCAACACTGCTAATCCAGTCAATACAGGGAATCTGTATGCTTGTATGCAATGTTTATATGTAAATAAAAAGCCTAAAATAAATCACTTTATATAAAGGGATTTTGTCTCTACAGAAAATTTGGATTAAACCTCTTGATTCATATGGATTACACGTTTACAATGTCTTAACATTCTGAAGCATCAAAGTTTTGGTTGCCTGGACATTAAATGTCTCAGCTTTCATCAAACATACCTTCTTTTTGTTGTTTGAAAACGATTGTTATTCGTATGGGTTTTGAACAATATGAGGTTGAGTAAATGAAGACAAGCTTTCATTTTTTAGGTGAACTATCCCTTTCAACAAAACAGGCAAAAAAAAAAAAAACTAACATTCATAATATACAGTGGGTACGGAAAGTATTCAGACCCCCTTAAATTTTTCACTCTGTTATTTTGCAGCCATTTGCTGAAATCATTAGGGCCCAAGCCCTGAAAGGGCGAAGGCCCTATTGTTTTCCTAAGGATTATTATTATTAGGGCCCAAGCCCTGAAAGGGCGAAGGCCCTATTGTTTTCCTAAGGATTATTTATTATTATTATTTTGTAACCTTTTGGGCATTTTTGGGGCCCTTAACGTGCTCGAAAACTCTTGAAACTTTGCACACGGGTCAGAACCCGCGGCCATCAGAGCCGGGCTGAAGCTGGTACCCGGGCGTGGCAGGGCGGCTCGTCAGCGCCCCCTGGAACGGGGTCCGAACACTTGGTCCATAACTCAAACACGTTTGTATGTAATAATATGAAACTCTGTGCACATGTTGATCTCATAGTTTCATCTATACCTCGCGCTTTTACTTTTTACCCCAGCCCAACAGGAAGTCGGCTATTGAGGTTTGTTTGTAAAACGCTCGCAATGGAATGTTAAATACTCCTCCTAGAGCTTTGATCCAAATTCGACAAAACTCGGTCAGCATGAAGTCAAGACATTGAGGATGAAAGTTTGCGAGGGGATTTTTGATATCTCGAACGGTTTGGCCGTGGCGAGGAAACGAAATCATGGCGAGAAACGTGAACCAGGAAGTGTGTTATAACTTCAGCATACATTAACTGATCTTGATGAAACTTCAGCAGTGTGTTCGCTGTAAGAGGACGATCACATGGATGTGACTATTGTGAGTCAAAGTTATAGCGCCACCAACTGGCAGCAGGAAGTGTGTCACTTTCAAAATGCTTTGATATCACCCTTTTATTTTTACCCGATTTGCTTCAAACGTCATCTGTATAATGTAAACATACGGCAGATGTAGACCTGTGAATGGATTCTTGATATCTTTGAAACTGTTGCCGTGGCGACGCATCAAACGTTACCATTCTTTTAGGATGCTTTTGAGACCCTTAGCATGCTTGAAATTGCATGAAACTCGACAGACACATCACATTTATTAGCCAGTAGACACGTGCAAAGTTTCAGAAACGGGCGTGGTGAGGGCTCAGTAGCGCCACCTTTTGACAAAAGTGGGGTTGTTAGTTTTATCTACAGTTACAAAAATCGGTATGTATATTGTACTCCTCGAGCCGGACAACTTTCTAATTGACACTCATTAGCTAGGACCCACAGAAAGTCAGATATGTTTGTTTGAATGTGGTCTTGCTCAATCTGAGCCTACATGTCTTTGCCTGTCTGTGCATGTGTGTGTGTTTGTAGGGGGAGGGGTCTTAACCATTTCACTCCTGTGTGTATGGCCTGCATAAAAAATAAATGCCTTAAGCCTGGTATTTTTTTAAATAAGTTTTTTATTTTTTATAAGTAAAGGCATATAACCAGTTTAATTGTAGTGCATTAATAGTTTTATATAATTAGTTTATTAATTAAATTAACTTGGTCCATAAACTTGATCTGAAAATTTGGTCCATAAATCAAACACACTTGCATGTAATAATATAACTTGAGTGTTAATCACATCATGTTTTCAGTTTGAATATAAAATATATAAATTATGTAAAAAAAAATAAAGTTGATCCAGCTGGAGCGCAGGCTGAGAATAGCGCTGTCATGACTGGATCAGAGATCATCAGTCATGCCCTCTCATACCTTACGCGCACACCACGCCCACTTACATCAGATCACATCAACATGTCAGCCGGAGGGATAACGAGGGTCGTCGTCGCTTTTGGATTCAAGAATTTCTTACAACAAGATGGCAAAAGAACAGCGCTTTGCAAGACATGCAACGTTAAGATCGCGGACAGTCAACCTCCAATTTCGTCCGTCATTTGAAGAGCCATATTCTGCCCAGTAAGTGCTTGTCAATTTGTTAATGTTATCTGGTTAGCTCGTTCGTAGTTAGCTAGCTAATGTAAGTTAAAGGAGAACTCCGGCGCAAAATTACACATTGTTACCTAGTCAACCGTTATCTGAGATTTGTTTTCATGACTGCCGAATGTAAATAGTTTTATCTATAAAAACAGTTTAGCCTATAAGTGACGTCCGACATTCTGCATATTGTGTTATTTTGTTAAGCCCCACTAAAGGCATAAAAAACTGTAAAGCAGAATCAAGTTTTCACACTATATTCCAAGACTTCTAAAGTCATTCAATAGCTTAATGTGTGGTAAAATTAATATTTTAGTCTCTAAGTTAAAGTTAACGGAAAGTCATCTCGCCTCAGTCATTCTCCATGCATCAGCATTAGCGCGTCGCGTTCGGTTGCGACAGTAACACGACGACACTCTCTTCAAGATCAATGTTCCCAATATTATACTTTATTTGTAGATAAGGCATAAAGGTCTATGATTTGCATAAAATGACTATCTTGCTGGAGTGGAGTTTATTGCCCTTTAGAATACACTAAGCATTAGTGCTGCACGATTAATTATATCGCAGTCGTAATAGCGATCTCAAACCTATGCAATTATATAACGCAAAATGCCGCGATTTTATATGAAATAAACAAAGTAGGGCTATTAGCGCAGCATCTCTTCTTTTTTGTCATCCTTTGACTAGTGTTACAAGATCCCCCTCTTATTGGTTCAAATGCCTTTTCGCATTTTGCACGACAAGAAGTGAAAAGCTGCCTGTGAGTGCCCTAGATTAGAATAGATGAGACTCGCATAATGCGCATGCACTGACCGTGTGCCAGCCCAGAATAAACAGTTCTCTTTCGAGCTTGAACGAACAATAACACACACAATTATGCCAAAATGTCGTTTTGTCGAGTATCTTCATAACGTAAGAAAAGTCTTAAGGACGAAAAGAGTTGTGCTATGAGGCGCATGTGAGATCCGCGTCTCGGCAACGGGTGCTCTTAAAGGGCCAGCAGCGAATAAAGCGTTCTGTCAGTCAAGTTAAAAGAACAAAGGGAAATTAGAAAATTACTCACTGATCTTGACTAAAGAACTTTTGTAGCTTTAATAAGGATTATTCTATATATAATTTATAATTCATGCAGCACATACTGTTTGATAACTTTATTCAATTTCTGTATCCTACCTGTTAAGACAGGAAGGGCACAGGTAAATATGGTTTTTATTATGGGTTTATGTGGGGATTGTTTGAAGTTCACTTAATTTAAAATTTGTTAAATTTTTTTTTTAGCCTAATAATTTTTTTTAAAAAGTTGATAGCTTTCACTGTAATGATGGTTTGGTTGATGGTTTATTGATCATTATAGGTGTTATCAATCATTTAGTTGTTGTCTGTAGTTTGAGTTGAGAAATAAACATTAATACACAGAATGATCACTAATCTGTGTGTGCATTTTACTTTAGAACCAAGCAAGTTGGACTCATGAAACCATTTTATTATATCGGAATCGCATATCACAATTGCAATATTGACCTCAGTAATTGCAATGGCAATATGACATTTTCCCCAAATCGTCCAGCCCTACTAAGCATATTATAGATATAATCCCTTCGCTATGTTCTTTTCAATGTGAAGCATTGCTTGCTGTGACTTGGTGTTGCTTCAAGTGCATCATTCTGCACACGGGATGCGCATGATCGATTATAATACTTTGGGGAGACAAGGCCCCCCCACCGGGGAAATGGGCCTGCCCCCACAGCTTGGAAAAATCCTAGAGGAAACACTGCACACACCACTCAGTTCAATCGCACCT